TTTTTGCTTTTTTGTTTTTTGTTTTTTTTACAGCACTGCCTGTGTAATAGGTACTCATATATTGTGCTAAGTTTTGGGTTTTAATATTCTGATTTAAAAAAAATGATTGATCTTTTTGGCCTTTTCAGATGCGCAAAGAAACCCAAAAGTTGAGAGAGTTTGAAGAAGGTCTGGTTAGCCAATACAAATTTTATTTGGAAAATCTGGAGCAAATGGTTAAAGGTATATTAAAACATATCTTGAAAGCATGTAACATACATAGCTTTGATCATGAATGTAAATTCTATACAGTGTTCTGTGTTGTTTAGTGAGAAGCAGGTATAGTGTATGGATGGGGCAGAGTCTAGAGTCAGACTTCCTGGCTTCAAATCCTGGCTTCACCACTTACTACCTATGTGTTGGTAAAATTACAGTCTTTCTGTACCTTAGTTTTCCTATCTATAAATGGGAATAATAATGGCACTTAACCTTACAGGATGATAGTGAGAAGTAATTTAATTTATAGATATAAAGTGCTTAGAACTGTGCCTAGGATGTACTAGGCACTATATTTTTCAGCTTTTAATATTATTGTCACTGCAGTCCTTTATCTAGTAAGGAGTTGTATGTTGGTGAATTTATGAATAGTTGAGATTTAATCTACTGTTTTTTTATTTGGAGACACCGTAGCCAGGGGAGAATGATAACTTGAAATGGTTGTTTGAGTCCCTTGAAAATGGACTTATGAGTCATTTGTTCAGGATGATAAACTCTTCTATTAAACTCTTTTTCTCTTTCTTCAGAAAAGGAAGGGTATAGGAAAAATTGGGATGTGAATAGGGAAGGGATTCAGTTGCCTAGGCCAGGAGGTTTCATTTGACCTAATTGGGCTCATTTACTCTGCTCATTTACCAAGGATCAGCCAGTTGCCATCAGCTGGAAAAGGACTACTGACTCCTGTTGGCCCAATGAGGGGGTGAAGGTGGTGGAGTATAGTTATTGGGTGGGGGTGGGTGGCATGGATATTGCTTCCGAGCTCTGGTGTCCCAGCTGGAACTGGTGACACACATA